TAATATATAATATAACATTTTATTTTTTTTCTCTACAAAGTTGCTATACAAATAAATGCATCTAAAAAGCTCAATCTGACAAACTGGTATGTCTGTACAAATTTTTTTCAAGAGCTACTGATGAAAGATTTATTTATATATTAATCCATTTAATTAATTCATATTTCGTGAAGACTAGATAATCATAATTAACAACATGCTGAAACATCTAAGCGCTCGCTGGAGCACAATCTCTATTGCTCCAGAAATCCTCGAGTCTCGTGTAGACTTTTGGTGCGATGGAGTTGTAGTGCAGGGCCTCGCAGACGCGACAATAGTGCCTGGATATGCTGCCGAAGTAGCCGTGCTCGTTAATCACCCGGTAACGATCGCGCCACTCGTGATACTCGATGTATCGCTTATTGTCGCGGTCCAGATACTTGAGATAATCGGCGAGCGCATCCGCGCTAGCAAATTCGTCCGTGTGAAGAAAGGAGTGCGGTGGCAACAATCGCTGACAGTCGTATCGCGACGCTCCCATTATTATCGGGACCGCGAGTTTGCCGTACGCGTTCCAGAACACCTTCTCCGTCAGGTATTCCCGGCAATTGGAGTTCTCGAACGACAGGTAGAACTTGTATGCGTTCAAGGCGGCGCAGTCCCGATCGAAGTGGCCCGGACAGACGGTCCTGTTGCCGTCCAGGCATTTCCCGAGAATGTCCAGGTCGTCGCCAAGCAATGACTTGAGTGCTTTCACGTAGGACCATCGTCCGTTACGACCACCGCAGTTGCTGCCCATTACGGCGACTAGTTTGGTCTTTGTAGTCTTCACGATGACGTTCCAGTGTCTGATGTTGTCATTGGAAACATTATCAGGGGTTCGTACCGTTCTTCCGTAGGGAACCGGTACATCGCTGTCCATTCGATAGGACATGGACCAATTGAACAGATTGTCGTAGTCCGATAATCTCTGCCTGCCGTACAGAAAAGTGTGAAAGGGCGACTCGTCCGTCAGAAAGATCCACCGTTGATCCGCTCGGCTTCTCACTGGCAGCTCCGAAGGACTCTTCGTGAAGTGCAAATGAAACACTACGGCGTCTGCTCGGTGCAAATCCTTTTCGTCATAGCTCAGCATACAATTCCTCACAGAACATCGTTCCCAGGGTGAAAATCTAAAACATATAATTTCATAAATTTTCGTCGATATTACCCTCTTATACAAAGAATAAGTCATACAATAGTGCTTTTTTATCGATCTAAACGAAATATAATTCTTTCAGCTCACAAGATCGACATAACTAATCCGATTGAAATCGATTTATTTTCTCGCAAGTGATGAATTTCAAGATAAATGATCATGGCTGATAAAAAAGAAAGAAAGATAAGGAATAACTAACTTGTTCTTCGTGAAACGCCGGATGTGTCTACGTTCCAGGAATGGCCCATGTTTCCAGATCAGAATCAAGTAATTTCTATCAGTGATGTTGGACCGCGGCGGTGGAGTTTCTTCCGGCGCCAACAACCATTTTCCAAGAAGAGTCATATTACCTATCTAATAGAAACACATGTCACGATGCTTATCCAACGCTCTCTCAAGTTTCTTTTTCAATCTATCGATTAAAAAAAAACGTATATTCTATACCGTGAAAAAATAAAATGGTAAGTCGGTGAAAAACCCAAGATTCTACCTGCTTGTCGGTGAAGCCTCTCTCTAGGAGATATTTATCAAAGGACATCATCCTCGTAGCGTTAGACAGTCTCGGAGTGTATCTTCCATCTTCTTCCTTTGTTTCTCTTACGAATGTCTGTTTTTTCCGAGACGCGGGGTATCTTCTGTCAGCGGCGAGGAAATCCGGAAACAGCAAGAGTACACAGAAGGTCGCAGCCATTGTACAGATGAACAGGACGAACGCGAACCGCGCGAGTCTCGAAAACTGCATAATGCATTCATTCTATACAAACTGTAGAGAAACTACTGTTGGAGCATATTGAGGATCTTTGAGTCTTACAGCGGCCGATGATGTCTTTCTTGTACACGTTTCAGCGATATCTTATCAAACTAATTATGTGCCAACAGGACAAACGGAGCGGCGGAGGCGATACCTGGCAACCCCGTTTCGTATACAGGGTGTCCCAGGATTTATTCGACAAACTGCGGGAGCATATTCTACAAATGGAAATAAGAAAAAAATATTATATGAAGTTTGGCTAGAGAAATGCCTTATTACAAAACTATAAGCAAATATTGAAACGGAACATGAAATAGGTAACCACGGATTTTCCAACGCGTTTAGTGCAGAATACGAAAGATAGAACGTGTTTATCTTATCTTATCTATGTGTACTCATATCATCACGTTTACTATTTTTAAAAGATTCGGTATGATTATTACTTTTACATCAATAGCTGTTAGATCTCAATCGTTATATAAATTAGCAATCCTAACAACACACTTGTTCAAAAGACGTCCAGAGGACATCCAGAGGATATTTTATATCCTTTGAAAACACTCTTGGCATTTTAATGGTAGTTCCCTAACACAGAGGATGTAAAACATCCTTTGAGTGTTCTCTGGACGTTTTTGGAACATATGTGTTGTTAGGGGACTACCGTCAAGATGCCAAGAGTGCTTTCAAATGAGGAATACATCACTGATATACACTGATTCTGTATGAAAGGTGTAATATTTCAAATGGAATATTGCAGCAATGTATCAGAAATATTACATGCCGAGTGGGAATGGAAAATCGGTTACCTATTTCATGTTCTGTTTATCAATATTTGCTTATAACTTTGTAATAAAGCATTTCTCTAGCCAAACTTCATATAATATTTTTTTCTAATTTCCATTTGTAAAATATCCTCCCCTAGTTTGTTGAGTAAACCCTTGGAACAATCTGTATAAAATCTTTGCGTTAAATTTTTTTTCCTTCTTTTTGATTATTAATTGTAATTTGAAATTTGACTGCAACTGCAAATATTGTGTATGTCAAGTTTTAAAATTCCAATCTAATCTTTATATATTTATATCCATGCTAAAGATGGACCAAAAAACGCGGTCCGAAACATTTTTAATGCACATTACTTAATAAAAATTTAATAAGTTCGCGCACCGATGGCCGCGCTTTGGCTCTTATCTGCCAGTTTCCCACTTGACCGTTAAATTTTTTTGTTGCTTTCGTATTGTTTCTTTCTTAAACAATTATCTTCTATAAAGAGGAAATGCGATTTTAAGAGGGACAATTTAATCTGACCGAACAGGTTCTCTAGACTTTAGGTATTTGTAATAATGTTTACAAGCTTTTACCTCTATGCAGGCAAACTTTTCGAACTTTCTTCATCTCGCGTCTTATTACGTTTCAATTAATCGTCATTTATAAATTTTACATAGTGAAATATGGAACCGACCGAATGCAAAGTAGAAAGTTGCAACCTTACGTGTAGAAATAAGATATCGATGTTAATTAACAAGAACTAATCACACCGCAATTATCACGTTCTCTCTCGATGAAGATGCACTGTTGAAGGACGGATGATCGTTGTTGACAGAGCTCGCGAAGAGAAATGACTTGGATGATGAAGAAAGTCGCGGATGCACTCTCGCATGGTGCAACACAAGGATACACGTCGACACGCGACTGACCGTTGATCCCGATTGTCTTGGTTAGCCAAGCGTGACCACCGTCCTCCAGTCTTAGACCGTCGTTTACCAGTGTCCGGCTACCGGTTGTCGTATTGATATATAGACGTCAGTAGATCTGTAAATGTCAAACGCGTCTTTGCACGCGCCTCTTGTCAACCAGGATAAAACGATCGATCGCGTTTCTTGACTAACGAAACTAGTTGAAAGTCTGGGAATGATTTGGTTGATTCTAAATCGATCGATTGATCTTAAATATCAGCAGTGCAGAGATAAAGATGAGATTCTATATTTTTCTTTATCTGTAATAGAGATATAGATAAGTTATATTGATTATCTTTTTGCTATGTGGACATTTTAGAAAGGCTTGACTATTGCAAATTATTTTCCCTGCGATCTCTCTTTCTCTTTTGCCACTTGATTCTTTCTAATAATTATTTTTGTCGCTTATTAAGATATCTAGAAAGACAGAAAATAGAGAGGAATAACAAATTTATTGCATTGAAAGTTAATAATAGCTTTAAACTAGAATCCTAGAATATCATTATTATTATTATATTATATTTATTATTATTTATTATTATTATTATCATTATCATTATTATTATTATTGATATTCTAGGACTCCTAGCTTTTTAACTAATATAAATAATTTATTAATTTTTTATACAAACACAAGAAGAGGCGAAGTTGAAGCTCTCTGGAAGTCCACGTATCTTGTTTTCGAGCATAATCGCGCGTGATATTATTACGAGTGATTTATCAGGCTATTAAACAACGCGTGTAATGTTTTCGCCTCGTTCGCCATTTGGCCGGAACGCGTTTTATAGTAGCCGCTCGTTTGATGGAAGCGATATAATTGATACGTACTATATGTGTACTTATTACGTACTTTAATAAGTTTGATTGCGATGCTTAAGATATGATTTATTATAATTATTAATTTATAGACACTTATCTTTTATTTGTATCGCTTTGTATATATCTTCACCCTTATAACTGATGAATTTTACTTTTCTCTTATACCTTGTGTTACCAACGGGGGGGAAATTTATGGACTTTGCTACGTAGTTCTAAAACGCAGGCAGGATTGTTGACTAAAGCCGACAATGTAGAGGATCTGTAATAATTTGAAGTTACAGATGATGTATATAAAAAGGAGAGATTGTGAAAGATCTTTGAAAATTGGAGTAGCACATGCCGGAATCCCTGAGTATTCGTGAACAACATAATTATGTCCTCCAAATATCTTTGGCTATTGCTGTTATTAGGAATCGCGTATTTTCTACAGTCGCGCAATTTGATCAGGGAAATCAAATTTCACTTGATGGATGGAACGTGGTTGAATATAGTTGACACGATATATCTTGGATTAAATAATAATGCCTTTGGCAAAGAGCAAAAGATATTCACTACGAGTGAATTGAAACAATATACAAATCTGGAGAACGGTCTATATCTCTCGATTTTGGGCCAAGTTTTTGATGTGACTAAAGGTGAAAAGCATTACGGACCCGGGGAAAACTACAATGCTTTTACCGGTAAATATTTCTTACATTGAAAGATGTATCATATATTGACCAATATGTATATATGGTATTATTTGTTTATAGGTCGCGACGCTTCCTTGGCATTTATTACTGGAGAATTTGACAACGAAGGTTTAACAGATGATATATCTAGCTTGTCTGCGCAACAAGTTAAGGCACTGGATGATTGGTTGCAATTTTATAAGGCAAACTATATTTACAAAGGTACAGTTACTTAAACTACATCAGGGACATAAGAGTAGTTGATCCACTTCAAAATAATTTTACTCTAATAAGAGCCAAAAGAGAATCTTTCAAAATATTTTATCAACTTATGCAGCGAGAATAAGGAGAAAGGTATATTCTATTTATTGCGCAAAAAGAGAGAATTGTGCATGATATTTAATACATGAACATTGCATGAGGTGGATCAATTTGCAAACATATAACACTTTCTAAAATATTTTGTTTGTTTTTCAGGAAAATTATATGGCAGATATTATAATCAAGACGGCAGTCCAACTGCAGAGTCTTATAAAGTACAAGAAAAACTACTAATTGCTAAAAAGGAAAAGTCACTGGAAGAGAAACAGAAAAGAATGTTTCCACCCTGTAATATAGAATGGAATCCAGAAATTGGTACTTTATTCTGGTGTACCGAAAAGAGGTAAGAATTTGTTTATGGATTATATATTAACAATCTTTTAATATTGAAGAAAAAACTAAAAAAGAAAATACAATTTTTTTTTCTTAAAGACACGATTACATGATCTATTTTATATTTAACAGTGGTGGAATTGACAGAGATTGGGTAGGAGTACCAAGAATGCTGTTTGAGACTGCGAATACACAAAGCACATCTAGATGCGCCTGTGTCAAACTGGACAGTATGGAATACGAAGAGAATAAAGCTAGATTAAGAGAATACAATGGCTGTGCAAAATATGAGACAAAATGTGTTCTAAAAAAAAAGTTGTAATATGACACAGTATTAATTAAAATACTACGTCTGTCAGATCAGGGGATCAGATATATTCAGATTTTATATTTATACAATATTACAATATATATGAAAGTTTAGATTTAAGATATTATCTCTACACAATTTTTTGTATTTTTTAATAATTTTATATTCATTACAGAATTAGTGCCTTTAGTTTATAAAAGTACAAATAAAATAATTATATAAAGATATAAATATATGATACTCCCTCTCTCTGTCTTTTAGAGCAACTATTTTTTAAAATAGATACAACTTACAAGACTCTTATTACATATGTAAGATAATATCAATATATTAATTATATCTATACAACAAAACATACATATACAGCATTCACAAAAACAAAATATTTCGTTTTTAAAAAATGGTTTTTTACTTAAACTTTCAATTTATCAGTTCTTCTATTTTATATTTAAGAACAATGTCACTTACATAAGTTACACATAGCATTTTATTTAAAAGAAAATTTTTCTTTCTTAAATTTTCAATTTATCAGTCTCTATTTTATTGTTAAGAATAATGTGTCTTCTTACATAAGTTACATAAGTTCAATGTTTATAAAAAATATTTATTTTAATTATTATTTAAATATGTAAGTATATATATATATATGTTGAATTTTTAAACTAAACTACAAATGCAATATGTGGTACAAACATTTTGTTTAAAGAAATATAAAGTATATTATTAATCCTCACATTATGAATATATTTCTCTCTCTCTCTCTCTCTCTCATTACATATTAATGAAAATGGGATAAATCGCAAATATGCAAATTTAAATATGATTATCACACATTTATGGTCCTTGTGATTTGTATATCAGCACATATCTATATAATGCACAAATATTGATCCAAAAAAATTCATATCATATAATATTTTTAATAAAAAGATGGCAAAAATTTTCACATCTAAATTAAATATTATTGTGATAACATTGATATCTCTTTTCGTTTATGCACAATTCCTTTTATAGATTTATGCAAGTATAGAAGGAGATAACATAAAATCCTGAAATAAAACAGTATACTTGCAGGAACTGAAGAGATTGGATTATTAATATTCAAACACAAGAAGAACTTTGTCCAATCTTGTCAATCTTTTCCAAGAGTTCTTTATCAATCATAATCGGTCCTTTTTCAAGAATTTGTATACTAGTCACATAACTTTTCATTATATCACCCCTCACTACATGCTTAATCTTAGATCCAAAAACTTTCTTTACTTTTGCGCGTCTCTTCTTTGCCTTGGAAGCTGTTTGAGAGAAGAGTAACATTCTTTTAAATCTCTTTGCACTCATGCGCATACCAATATCATCGCCTGCAATATCGCTCTCTTCATATATTGTTTCAAGATCAATTTTCTTATTTATTTTTTTATCCAAGTAATACTCCTTTATGTTTTCTTCCTCTACGTCCATCTCTGAAACCTTCCTCTTTTTTGGTTTGAGGCTACATCTTGCAAATAAATATATAAGGTGCTATAGATGTGAAAGATGAACATATATTACAATTTGATGTTAAACTATTACCTTCTATTAAGAACATCTGTTTTAGCAGCAGATTTGGGCATCCTTTTTCTAAGAATCCTCTTGGTAGATTCTGTAGGCGAAGAGTTAATATCTATACTAAGCTTTGCTAAATCAGCTGTTACCACGGGTAAAGCTGTATTGTTGAAACAATCCACTTTAGAGATTCTAAAAGATAAAACAGTTCTTAAATTTCTAATCTTCCTTAAATAATTTTTAGTTCTCTTAAAAAACAATATTGCAATACATAAAATAACATAGTTGTAATTTTTTCTCATTAAGTAGAAAATTTATGAAGCAGGCAAAAAAAGAACTGAAATTTATAAGATTTACACAGAATATCTCCTTTTTAATATATCTTTCTTTTAAACTTACGTATTATCTGTTTGTCCCTCATCCATTTTCGAGATGTTACGAAGATGTCGCAAAATATTCTCTTCAAACAATATCAAACTTTTCGTTTCAAACAAACGTTCTTTGAATCGTCTATCAAACCATGTCAGACTTCCCTTATCGAAAATGTATACAGCATCTTCAACAATCTTTCATTTTCATACAAATAAAACGTACACTAAAAGACGATAAACAAAGGACGGTTCTTCCAGGTTCTTTTTAGAGTCCAATCATAGACATATATAAAAATATATAAACGAAGCCTTTTCTAAAATGAGCAAAGGATTCGCGGTAAAGGGGGGAGGTACTAGCAAATTATGGGGCATTCACCAATTGCCACAGATTTCTATATATTATACCTACTAATATAGATTAATACACACTTCCATTCTTACTTTCTACATATATACTTATATATATCACCTACCACCATGGGCGCGTTCCACTTAATGCCCGTAACGCTCACGGTAGCGGGTAGCATTTTATTCTTGTGCTTGACCAAAAATTAAACAAAGACAGATGATGCTCGCGAGCGTTGCGGTCGTTAATAGAACGCGCCCATATCAGCAGTCCAGTATAATAATCTGTGCCAATCATAGGCTGCGGTCGGGAAGACGCTAGAAATGCTTCGAAGCGTTTGATTGACCAATCAGGGCAAAGAGAGTAAAGATTTCTTTATTCTAATTGGTTAATGCAATGCTTCAAAGTATCTCTAGCATCTTCTCGACCGCAGCCTATATAAAATATAGCCGTGTTGCAGTCTAGTATATTATATATTATATATATTATATATTAGCACGGACGTTTCGCAGTCCTCCTCCTCTGATGGTCAAGAGTCTACATTGATACCTTGTAAGACCGTTTTAATTACTTTCAAGGGCCAATCGCTCCCTGGATATATACATTTGTTTATGGTTAGGCATTCTGTCGAGCCTTTCGTAACAAAAACTTCGCTCTGCTTCACATGCCTTCATTATGGGCACTTGAAGGCCCAATGCAAGGGACATCCCCGTTGTCAGCATTACGGGGAGAGGGCGCATGAGGATAGGTAAAAATAATTCCTTTTAATAAAAAATTTTATCATTTTGCAAATGGATCATTTTGAAGTCGGATTTTCTGTTATCATGAGTCACAATTAATTATTGAATCGGTGTTTCTGCAATTGAAATTCAGTTGTTAAAAACAAATATACGAATTCTCCGCAGAGGGTCCGCCTTATATCCCCGCTTGACCGCTTTCTACTTCCAGGTTGGCTCGCTCGACCTTCGCCGCGTAGCGGCGCCGCCCGAAACTACGCGCGGACGCGCGAGCACGTGTCCGCCAAGTTGCGGGTCGCACTATTGTATCGCGGATTATGTTTAATGTGACGACCTACGGCAGCCACAATATCCATTCGATTATTCGTGTTTATTTGGATTGACAACAATATGGATTAGAATGTAATGATTTTAGATTGGAAATAATCCGCGAAAGCGATATTAAAACCGATTATAATTCGTTCGGAATTAAAATCGATTACTTTTTAATCCGGGCGCGGATTGAACCAATTAAAACCGATTAAAACCGATTAAAACGGATTATGTTTTAATCGGTTTTATGCGACCATTTTCGGCAGGGAACTGCAAGGGTCCTCACAGAACCACTAGTTTGAGCTGTCCGGAATACAATATTCAGAGAAGGATTAGAGAACTTGCGGCGTACGACAATATTCCTCTCGCGGAGGCTAGAGGTCGCATTCGGGGCTGCTCAGCAAGCAAGACTCCTGGCCCTTCATTTAATATCGGCGAATTTCCGTCTTTGTACAATCCTCCTTCCCCTCCCTCGTCCTCTCACCCGCGCCCTTCCTCTTCCTCGTTGCCCTCCTCCTCCTTTCCGTCATCATTCTCGAGCGTCCTGCACTCAAAAGTTCCATCTAAAGGAAATGCTTCCGCGGCGCCTCCTTCTCTTCTTCCTCCCCCTCTACCCCCTTCTCCTTTCTCAGCTCCGTCTTTATCCCATCCAAATCATAAATGTTCCACTAAAGACTATAATAATAACAACGGCAACGCTTCTTCCTACCCTTGCTCCTTCCAAAAAAATAAATCTCATCGAATATTTAGCTCTCCCCCTAATCACAACTCCCTCCTCATATCCCCCCATGGAAGGCTCCCTTCCTCTACGGATGAGAAGGCGGATTTTCGCCGTCCTCATTTTTCTGCCCCGTATCCCCCTTCCTCTCATCTCTCTAATTTTAATTCTAATCTCAATTTAGAACTGTGTGACCAGCTCTTTGGTCTTTTTAATGTCCTAATGGAAAATCCTCCTATCCTTAGGCTGTTGGGCCTTTATGACTCCGTTGCCGAGTTTCTCAGCTCACTCCTCCAATCATTGAATTCGCGAGACTAAGCCTCTAATCCCGTGCCCTCAAATGTCTAGTTCGGCACGAGATCGTCTTTCTCAGCATCCTCTAAGGATCCTTCAATGGAATTGTCACTCTCTGATGAATAAGATTGATCCTTCCTACACCCTATTCCAGGAGTTTGATGTTTTAGCCCTATCCGAGACCTGGCTCAGCCCCGACTCCTACTTAAACATTTCTAATTTTAATGTATTCCGGACGGACTCTTTATTGCGGAATAGCGGAGGTTTGCTCCTGGCCGTTCGCAGGTCTGTTCCGTATAGTCTTATGGAGATCGGTGTCCGGTTTGGCGGGGGTTTGGACCTTGCTAAAACATTTCAGCAATATTTCGGTAATATTACTGAAATATTTCTGAAACATATTCCAAGTAGCGAACTGACGTCATAATGACGGTAAATTTTGGTCACAAAATGATCACTTAGATATCCTAAGTTAGGTCTCATGAGATCCGAAAATGATGTCGATATGTCACATCCACGAGACGTCATTTTCTGATGTTTGTTTGACGGCAAAACTAAAATCAATTACAGTAATAATATATAACAATATACATTAATGTGATATATATTATAGATAAATTTAAATAATTTAATTTATAAAATTAAAGATTTTATTTATATGGAAGTTAATTTCTGTTTTATATTTTAAGCAGATAATAACAAAAATAATTATAATATTATTAACCGCATTTTGCAGACTTTATATACGCTCATGACAGAAATTTGAATACGGGTATAGACAGTGAATAGCGCGCCGCATAGCGGTAAGCAAATAAACTATAACCTTAATACTAGTTACAAAAGGACTTTCTGAAAGATTTCAGAAATATTGCAAATGCAATATTTTAAAAAACATGATACAGGTACATTTCCGAAATATTTTGGATGCAAAGTTACAATTGAAATATTAATAAAATATTTCTGTACCATTTCCGAACATTACAGTATTTCAGCAATATTACATGCCGAGTGGGCTGTCATCGACTTGTGCGAGTGGAGTGTGCTTGACGATACATATCTTAGCGACCATTTTCCGACAGAAATCAGATTTAACTGCTACGTTATAAAGAGGAAATTTTTCTCCCATAGAATTAGACTGACTGCGACTGGGAGGGAGCAATTCGCCGAGAGCTTGAGTGATGGCTTGTGCGTCCTTAATGAATCCTTAAGCAACCCTGCGTTAAACGCGGAAAATAGATATGAGATTTTTACCCGTCACTTGAGGAGCTGTCTGCTTCGGAAAGCGGGGAGAGGTCCCTCTGAGGAACCCTCTCGTCACCACAAAAAACGAACTACTTTGCTGGCCCCCTGGTGGAATGACTTTTGCCAGGCGGCGGTTGACCTCAGACGTGAGCTTCTCTCTATTTTCAAGAGGTCTCCCTCATATTCTAATTTTCTTGCTTTTAAAAAACAGGAAGCTATTTCTAGACGCATCTTAAAATCTTATTTGCAGATTCTTCTTGACATCTACAATGAGCTTCTGGAGGATGGTCTCTTCCCGGCCTCGTGGCATCACTCCCTGGTCTTTCTTATCCCAAAATCCACCCCGGGAAAATATCGGCCTATTTCTCTCACCTCTTGCCTTTTGAAAGTTCTGGAGAAGCTTATTCTGACTCGTTTGGACTGGTGGGTGGAATTCTCGGGGATTCTCCCCCCTTTTCAGTTTGGATTCCGTAGAGGGAGGTCGTGTTCTGATAACTTGGGTGTCCTGACGACTGATGTTCATGGTGGGTTTGTCTCGGGACGATCAACGGCGTGTCTGTTTCTGGATGTCCAGGGGGCGTTTGATAATGTCGTCCCTAATATTTTGGTCAGGGATCTCGTTGACATGGGACTCCCCCCGAAAATTTGCTGGTTCATATGTTAACTAGTTAATTATAGAAATATCCAATTTGTCTTCAACGGCGAGATTTCCCCTCACTTTGTTTCGGATAAGGGAGTTCCACAGGGCTCCATATTGAGCCCTCTTTTATTTAACTTGTACATCTCTGGCTGTAAACAGTATCTCTCTCGCGACTGTCGGATCGTTCAGTTCGCGGACGACATTGCGCTCTATACCGGATCTTCTGATCCCAAGATCGCCCTCAAATCCTTGGAAAGATTGGTTGATGGCCTGTCGCGGTTTTTGTTTGCTAGGGGTTCGTCTGTCTCCCCGTCTAAGTCGGCCCTTATGGTATTTACCAAAAAAAGAGTCAATCTCTTGAGTTTTTCAATCGAGCTGAACGGCATTGCTATTGGTTCGGTCCAATCGCATAAGTTCCTTGGTATCTATCTTGATCCCGCTCTCAGCGGCAAAACTCATGCCCTTTATCTGGTGAACAAGTGCGGGAAACTTTCCAACATCTTGAAGTCGCTGAGGGGGGTGTGGTGGGGAGCGGACCCCAGGACCATGCTCTGCGTTTTTAAAGCCCTTGTTCGGGGCTCCATTGAATATGGCTCTTTTATATTTCCCTTGCATAATTCTGGTCTAGTGGAACTCTTGGAGAGGACTCAGCGTAGGGCCCTCCGATACTGTATGGGCCTGCGACAGACTACCCCTACTAATGTGGTTTATGCGGAGTCGGGCATTAGTCCAATTAGACATCGTTTTACTTTTTTGACATCGAAATTCATTTTTCGATCTTTTGCACTTAGAGACAATCTTCTTATTGAAAAGCTCTATGACCTTCAGGCCGCCCTTTTTAACAATAACAAATATAATCTGTTCAACAGATTCCTTCTATATAGAGCCTTTTGCCTGAATAAAGATTACAAGCGCAGAATCGCCTCTTTTTCTAGGGTTCCTATGCATCTTTTCTCTTATGAAACCTTATCTTTTATTCCAACCTCCGAGGTTACCCCTCCCCTTGTGGTGGAGGGGATTCGCCAGGCGCCGTTTCCTCAGCTTACTTTTCAGTCGTCCTTGCCCCATCTCATTGATGCCAGACACCTAATCTTCACGGATGCTTCCAAGAAGGAACCTGGGGATTGTGTTGGCATTGGAGTCTTTTCGCCGTCTCTCCACATTCAAAAAATGTTTAGGGCTGACTGTGGCTCCTCTGTATTTTCAGGTAAATGCATGGCCATCATTCACGCGATGGAATACATCCTTGAAAATGGTGTTAACAAGGT